ATATATATATATATATATATATATATATATATATATATATATATATATATATATATATATATATATATATATACGCACATACACACACACATACACCATACAAACATGTATATATAAAGGAAATGTTTGTTCCTTAGTAAATGATGGTGACGATGAAGTTTTGAATATAAAAGAATTCTCAAAAATATGTAAAGTAGCGTAACAATAATAACAACTGTGCACTTACAATAACAGTTATAGCGATGACAGTGATGACGTTTCACGTGAAAAGCAACCTACGGTTTATCAGTATTCAAATGAATTGCCGGAAAAACGAAGAATCTCTTTACGGTTCTTAGTTAATAAAATTGATCTGGGGAGGAAAAAAGGAAGAGTGAGATTTACATACTTAATCATTCCTTGTAAGCTATAGTTATTACAGGTTGTAACGTTCTTCGTGCTCTGTTACTTCACTTCCCTCTACTTGACTTTTGCAAATACTTCGTTTGAAATGAATTTAAAGAATCAAAGAAGGAAGCTTGGATAGTGGGAAAACTCATTTCCTCATGATCTTCCTTTCACCGCCACTGTTTTTACCTATCATGTCACATTGCAGGGAAGTGTTTTGCATATTACATAGTTTAAAAAATCGATGAGAAATAGGCAATTGGTTATGAGGTAATATAATGTACGATATGAGGAAGTACGATGAGCCTGGAATTTCTGGAAGAAAGTAAAATTCCAGAAAAATTCGAAGAAAAAAAAACCTCTAGGAACCAATAGTCAGATGCTCGACGTACTTCAAGCAGGCTTGAAGTTTTCGAAGAAGTAGAAGTATCATTAACGAAAGGATCAAGAGGGGAGTGTAGATAACCTCAGGTTTTGTGAGATTTGGCATTCGTCATACTTGTTTCGGTTAAACCGGTACTGTTCTATAAATGTTCCCCTCAACGTAGTCATCCTTCAATTCCGTTCTGTTTTTTTTCTTCTCTCTCTCTCTCTCTCAACAGTTTTTCCACTTCATTTTTCAACCTGTGCTTCAGTTAGAGCTGAATTTACGGATCAGTATTTTCGTTTATATTAGGAATCACACCAATCATTACAACTTAATGCAAGAAATGTTCTATACACTTCTTAACTGAGAGGTATCGCATATACATATGCTTTTGGCGTGAAGATCGCATTACATGTTTGCGATCGAAACAATAAATGAATGCAGGGCTGTCCTTAGCTAAATATATTTCAAACAAAGGAGAACGAATATGTTCTATCGTATTTTCTCAAATTTTAAATTGCTATTTCGAGTCTATTCTGCTTCCTTAAACAAAACCACAAGTCGGTTTGGCGAAAAGTTTTTAAATTAAAGGATGTACTATCGATAGGTTATGAAGCAAAGCATATAATGCTTGAAGCTTCGTTGAGAAGTCTGTTTTTCAAATTTACATAATTCCGCTGCCTTCTTCTCACTGCCTTCTTATTACTATATTCCACTGCTACAGTAAATTATTTCTGAAAAGATCTACATGGTTTGCGTGAAAAATGAATTTTCATCGGCTTAAAATTGGCAAAAGACATGGTATCATTCCATATAAGCAAGCTTAAAGATAAGCTCCAGATAGGGTATTAAATGAGGTAAGTGATACGATACGGATAAAAAAATGCATTTAAGTATAATATCTTCAGATATCAGATGCATTATCTAACAGCTAACTTTAAATCAGTGATCGGAAGTTTCCGTAAGACTTAATGATTGTTTAATGATGATCTGCTATTTCCACGTTTGTGAGAATTTTATCAACTAGTTTTAGGCGTAAACATGCATCAATATTTTCCATTACTGCTTGAAACTTCCGGGAACATGTCTTTCTGCTCTTTCATTATCCACTCGTTGCAAATAATGAACAGTGAGATAGTACCACGGAAGATATCATACACATATGGTCGGTCGCATTCATTACAATTCTAGTTTTCATTGAAACTATTAATTATAATGAATATAAAATCACCGCCAAGTATTTGTTTCACATTCCTACCACCGAATTAATAACGACAAATAAGTAATGGTGGAGAGCAGTAAATGACTTCCGCAGGATACATATGTCTCATACTTTTTGAAAAAGCCAATTAAGCAAAATGTGTTAGTGCTTGGATTCACAAGCGGTTTATATTTGACGTAGCTAATGGATAGTTACGCCACTATATACGCTAGATTTTTACATCGCTCTTGCAGTTCCTCTCTATTGGTTCCGAAACCTAATTGTTGCTTAATATTATGGTTAATGTATTGCCTGAATTAAGAAACCTGAATAATTTTAATTTAAAGGTGTAATTCAATGTTCGGTTGCGATAATTCTCTCAAAAAAATTCATTCATATTTATAAGTCCTTTAACACAAAGTTTGATTGAAGCATTTTCAAATATGGTCCTCCTGATTTATATCATATCTCATTTCATTTCAATCTATATCAATCATTACTTGAAACAAACCTTGTGACATCATTGAATCTTTTTGATAAAGTTGAAAATAACAAATTTGAAAAGTTCAGATTATATTCAGATGTCAATTCAAATTTGTCGATTCAATCAAGTCAAAAATTTCAAATATGCAGAAATATTGCAAATTTTTAATCTGGAAAAAGAACAGTAATGTTTTTAATCATGAAAATACTCAATTTGAGAATTTTCAAATGCTTGAAGAAAAATGCTCGCCACTGCTTCTTCCCTTGAAGCCAAAGTTTTAATCTGGAGACAGGTGCAAAAAATATTTTCTTCAAGAAGGGAGAAGTCAAGTTTTTTTAGGATTAATTTCCATACACAATTCCAACTACTTATGTTTTATTCAATTCTCAGAAGTGATCCGTTTTACTAGCTGATTGGGAGAAAAAGCTTCGTAAAAGATATCTTTCGAGATTGAGTATGAAACACCTGCAGAATGTCATTGGGATGAATAGATATTTTTTCATAGCCACTGCCTTCCGCTATCCAACCATTTTGATTTAGTTACTTCACCATTGAAATATAATTTTTCGAAAATAGCTTTCGCTAAAAGCTTAAGGTATCAGATTGTTCGTTGTATCAGGTTTCAACTCTTCTTTCCTGATTTTCAACAACCATGAGGAGGTGGCACAACTGTTTTTATTAGAAATTCAATTGTAAATTGTAAATTTTCAATTGTAAATTTCAAATTCAATTGTAAACTTCATTCAATTGTAAATTTTCACTGAGATAACGATTGCTCCTTTATTACAAATTTGTTCTGCTGGCCGTCAACCGTTGCAATTTTGAATTGAGAATTAGGATAAGCTCTAAAATTCGGTCCTTTGAAAATTAAAACTTTCATACGGAAGATTACAGAAATGGTTCTTGTTCTTGAATTATTATTGCTTTTAGACAATAAATCAAAGTCCAATAAGACTGCAGCAACTATTTTCTTATTTTGATAAAGATAAAAGGAAGTAAAAAAGAAGAAAGAAATTGCAGTTCCGTGATATGTGCAGGAATTAATTCAAATTTAAACTCAAAGGTAAGTTTTTCCTAATTTCAGAATTTCATTTTCCCTTTCTTTTTCCCATCCTTATTATTATGTCCTTAAGAGTTTCATTTCATCTGAATACGAACTTCTTTCTTTTCTTCTATCTCTCTTTTCCCTTCGATTTTTTCCCTCAATCTGGGTATACTAGCCAAATTTCCATTTTCGCTAAAATAGTTATTTAGTTAGATAGTTCTGTGTACTGACAACACTTTGGATACAATGACTACTAAGAGCAATATGGAAGTAAAGAAATCTTTGATATTAAAGATACGACTAATTTTTTGGATTTAATATTCAGTAATTCAGTAAATTATTAATATACTATCAAGAAAACACTTTGAATGAATTCAACCACTGGAAGGCTATCTGATTAGTGAGATGGCACTTTCCCGATTGGTCGAATTACTACTGGCTATCAAGGCTTACATAAGCTTACGATAGGGGAGTTCACTTTGGAATACGTCAAATAGAGATGCTAATTAATCATTTTTCCTAATAACTATAATATAATAAGCTTTGCTAATGAAAGCAGTTGATGAGTAGCAAAATTGGCACTTCTTGATAGTGAAGATCGATTTATGCTTATGACTTTTCAATATTTGATAGTATTTAAAAGTGGTCTGTTGAAAGTTTCATAACTTTCTAGCTTGCATCGTGCACTTGTCGTGTGCCGGAAAAGGCATCATGCTGACTGACCGATCAGTTTGTTAATTCAAAAATTATATTTTCAAATTATTTTCTCCTTTCTGTGTTAACTTTCGAATTTCTTGAAATTGCTTGTCAAGGGCTTCAGTGACTGATAATTATTGGATGTGCTAAAAAATTATCAAAACTAACATTTTTTTGGTATCTTTTACAAACCGTTCCAACGAGATATGTTAAATTCATGAAAAATAAAAATATACTTTCCATTAATTGTGGACACTATCGCTATCATATACATTATATCTCTTCTACAGTTATAAGCTATAAAAGTTGCTTTTCTTTACTTTCCAAATAAACTTTTAGTCATTTTTTTGCAGATGAGGATATTTTTGCTTCTGGGAAATTAACATACATTTTTTGGGATTTGTTAAGAATTTGAATGAAGAAAGAAAAGCTCACATCACTGATGATCATGACATCAGATCGTTGTTGTTGTGGACTGCTCCATATAAAGGTTATTAATAGTTTAAACTATTGACCAATATAATTTGCCAAGATGAAAATCTTTGAAATGAATAGATTCAACGATAAAAATGAATTAAATTTACGGTAAGACTATTTGATAACTAAATGGATTTAAATTGAAAGTTTCCAAAATCTTTTTATAGTGACCATCAGAATTTTGTTCTGTTATTTGCAGCTGCACAAAGATCATTTCGACATCATTTTATACTTATACTTTCATATTGTAACTTAACCCGCGTTTCTATCTTCTGGCTAAAATATAACGTTTTTTTGCTTTGCGTTTTTTGGAAGGAAGCGAAAGAAAGAGATAATGAACATCTGTAAGCAAGGAATTTTCAAGAATGCAGGCTTAGTTGTTCAATTTATGCTTAGTTTTTTTTCCGTTCTTCAGTTTTAATAGTTCTTCCTTAAATTTTAGCACGGTACAATCATGGTTGGAAGCTGCTCATTATTGTCAACATTAATTAATGGCATACTATTTTGGTTTGGTGTCAATCGGACATCACATCACTTTTGTATCGAATTCTGTCTTATTCTTATCGATATATTTTCAATTATGTCGCTGTTTTATGGAGTTCTGCACATGCGACCTAATTTTTTGAAACCATACGTTTATTTTACGGTTAGTAATATTTGTCATTTTTTTTCATACCTTTAAACTTTAGTTCAGATTTGGTAAATGCTCATTTTTGTATTTTTCACGGATTTCAAATGAAATACTTCAACTCATTGTTAAAATGACTATATAAACAATAACGGGTAAAGTTACATAAACATTCCAAAACCATTAATCAGCCAGAAAGATGTTTACGCTTTTGTTGTCCAGCTAAGCTGGAAATAAATCGCTGCCAGGCAAGTGAGCAGAAGACAACCCATCACACATGTCTTGTTCCAGTGATTTAAGGATCTGATTTTATTAAACTTTCAGGTAGCATGGTGCGTGGCACTAGTTCTTTTATTCATTCTCTCTTTGATAGAGCTGATAAATGGTGATGAGCTTCCCATCAACATAATCATTTCAGTAGCGGATATTTTCAATTTGGGACAACCCGGAGATACGCTTCAGAATTGTAGGTTTTTTTTCAGGCCATAAATTTACAAAGGTAAATGCAGCATTGTTTTCACCGAAAATTCCTTGAATTTTAGAAATCAACGATATTTTACCAGTTTACTATGAAGTGTATCTCTCTCTGCGCACATTTCTTTCATCATTTAAGATTTGTTGAAACGTTTTTAGCAAGCGCGCTGCTTACAATTTTATCATTAATCGGTTTATTAGTTTCAATTGCTTTCAATATTTGGTTCTTGTGTGTGACATTCGAATATTATCAATGGTTAACAACGCAAACAACGAAACCACTCCACCTCAACAACCATCACCACCACATCTTGACACCACCTCTGTTATCAGTTTCAGAATCCTAATTGCAAATTTAGTCATTTCTTTTATTATGCTAGGTTGATCACAGTTTATAATGTTAGATTTTTTTTCATTTGTTTCTATGTTTTGTATTATGACTGAGGTCAAGCGCAAAAAGCATTCGACAAATTATCATTAAATGATAAATTACTACCATTATTTATTTTTAGTCATAAATTTATAACTTATGATAAAATAGATAAGAAGAAAGTGAAGAAAATAATTTCCATACGTTTCGTGACCTTCCAAGAAGCATTGGAAGGATCCAATGAAAGCAATTTGTAGCATTAATTCTAATGTTTTTTTGTTGATTATTGGTGAGTACACTAACTAGCATAACATATCCCATTTCTTCAATTTTACTTTGATACCAATCATTTACCAATTCTATGTTCACAGTACAGCTTTATGTTCTTTGTTGCTTATCCATGAAAAGCTTGACATGTGCACGCACGTCAACACCGCTTGAGTTCTTTTAGTTTTCATCTGAACGATTCTATCTGATAGACAAATATTGTATTATTTGAGGACAAAGTGACATCCTAAATATTTTTCCGACTTTCAAGGGAAAGTTTTTAAGGAAGTCAGATTATTTGAAGAAGTATTAGGAAGTGAACGAATAGTTTCGTAGATACTGTGTGGTGGAATATGTCATTACTGTGGTATTTCCCCATTTTTCTTAATATGTTATTATTCCTTCCTAGAAAATTTTATTTTGGTAAAGCATAAAATTACAAAAGCATTAGTGATGAGAAATATATGGCGGATTATTGTATCATAAAAATGTCGAAAAAGTCCTTTAAAAAAGTCTTCAAAAAGTTTATTTGAACGGGTTAACTGAGAAAATTTAAAAGATTCATTTAAAAAAGTTGAATTACTAAAAAGTATTAAAAAGTAGTCGAGTAAGCCAAAGGTTATTGATTGATGAAGAGAATAAAATTTGTACCACCGGAACAAGAAAGAGAACAAGGGAAGGCGCTTGATTCTCATTCAGGACGGAATTTGATAAATGAATGCATTGTGCAATTATCCATCAACTAAAATTTTAAAATGCGCTCTATTCAATAGCGCCTGTTAACAGTTAGAAGTAGAATTAATATATGTAAAAAAGAAGTTTGATTACAAAATGTGTTTGTGTTTTTGCAACTTTTTAAAAATAAATTGTATAATTTGGAAAGAGAAATTAGAGAGAAAACACATTTGGAAAAGAATCAGCTATCATTTGCTATTACAAAACAGAACTTCGTAACAAAAGGATATGTGCTTGGCTTTTTTTGGCTTGTTTGACTCCAACTTGCATCATCGTTTGTCAAAGAAACGTACACTTGGCTCCAGTCTGGTCCATCGTTTATCAAAGAAACGTACGCTTGGTTCCAGTCTGGTCCATTTTTTGTATCTTATTGATTCCATTATAGGAACTTCGATTTGATTGAGTTTGCCAATGCTTTGCGGTACCACTGACGTCCATAAAAATACTGCAAATGAATGAAATTAGATTTTCTTGCGACATTTTTCAATGATCATCATAACTAGGACTTTAATTTAGATCATATTCAATTCGACAAAATGGCTAAATCATTTTAGCGGTAGGATGAGAAGATTTGGTAATATGTCCAAAAGAATTTTCATTTTTTTAAAATTTATTTTCTAAGAATTTTTCGACACTATTTGATTTTTGTTTTGTCAAAAGTTAGAGTTATCAATGAGGAAACAGAGTGCATCAGAACTATCGCAAGAATTCTACATCAAAAAATTACATAAGCTTCTTTGAAAAAAAGCCAAAAAGTCTTACCAAATATAAAAAGCAATGCAAATGCCATTTTCATGGCTAAAAGCACACAAAGCCTGAAATTGTCGCATATCATTGACTTGTCCTATCATGTAAAAAGTAATAACTTTAATCGCAAACAATATTCGATACTGCATGAAATCAGTGGTAAAAAACAATGCATTTGCATAAATAATCGTTACCAAACGACAATGCATTTCTTACTAGAACTACAGCACTTTTCTTATTTTATTTGTCGCCAATGAATCTTTAGTAAGCTATTTGGATGGAAGAGTAAACAGCCAATCAATAATGATATGGTTGTTTGACCTTTATCTAATCATTATAGCATTCAATTTATTATCGTGTAAGGGTGAAGGAGGGAAAATGAAAATTTATTTAATTATTTGATAGTGCAAGAAACGATATTGAAATTCTTCCGAAGTTTTGAATTGTCAAATGTCACCTCTCTTTGTATAAGAAATGATTAGCTTTTGTTCCAGATTTTCCATCGCTGACCTTCATTATGTTAAAAAGATGCAAATAAAATTTAGGAAGTGTATTTATTAAAGGTTTTTTGGCTCTTGGATAACTTAACGATTTCCCTGCGCAAGATGAAATGGTTGAAAAAAAATGAAAAGATGAGATGAAAAAAAAAGGAAACTAAGTTTTTTTGAAAGATTTCTACTACTATTATTATCATTTTTAGTAGCATTTTTGTCATAGTACAACGATATATTCCATCTTCAAATAGAAAATTATTGTAAGAATTAGTTACTATTAGTGGCAACTGAAGCAACTTGGAATTTCCATAGGCATTCGATTATTCTCTAACCAAAAAAAGCCATCAACTTATCAACAGTATGATACTGAAAATCTGTTTGGGATGCAAACTCACATTTCAACTATTCTAAATTTTGCAACACAAATAGAAACTGTAATCCAGTTTTCCTACCGCTTGCTTTTCTTATATTAGAAAGATGACAGTGATTCAAATTTCAAGATCAGAGAGATGCTCAAGACATAAATATTAGCTTTTGGCATATTTTCGAACTAACAAAGCTTGTCATTGCTCATTTAACACCGGATGACATAGTATTAAAATATTACTACTACTGAATCAAACAGTGTCGATAAACTTCAAAATATAAAGTGTTGATGCATGCTCTATCAACCGCTAGAACTTGACTAACAAAAAAAGAAAAAAATGATAAAAGTGAGGTTTGGAACAAACAGATTTGACACATTTGTTTAAAAGAATTATACAGTCAAATATAGTTCAAAGTTGATTATGAATAACAGTATTAACATTGAATATCTTCGATGTTCATGCTTCATCTTCTTGAAAAGGATAATTTTCTATAAACTATTACAGAGTCTGAATAAAAAGGATGGACGTTTCGGAAACCAAGGACTTATTTACTAAATGACTGTGACAAAAAAAAGTACGAAATACGTCAGAAGCAATTGTTCCATTATTGATATCCTCCATTAAATATATTGGAAAACTTGATTGATTGACAAACTATGTGTCATCGAGTATTAACATTTTATACAATAACAGAGAAGGGTTACGTTGATTCCGCTTTATCTTACATTTATCGTTTATAAATTGCTCGTCTTATACCGCCTTCTTGTTTATTTATTAAACGGCTGTGAATGACATCCATCCCTCCTGCAGATGTAATAAACGGAAATTTTTGGCATCGTCCAATTTCCGCCATTAATTTAGTTAAATTTAGCGATATCCTAGAAAGAAATAAATTTCCGCTGAAGCTACTGCGTTATCGCATTTTTCCTGAATTTGGGAAGTAGACAAAGTATTTTTGTTTGTGGTCTGGCAAATGTAATATTTCCAACCTTATCAGTGCAGTTTAAATGGAAATATTGATATATGAATAATGAAGGATAAAAAAGAAAACCAAGGCAAAGGGATAAAATTGGACTCTTAGAATTTCGAATTTCTCAGCAATAAATGGAAAGTTTGAACCAAAATTTAATTAATAGCGGAAAATCCTTGAGAAATGTTAGTTTTCATTCATGAAATAGCTTCATAAATTCAATTATGATGATTATTTACTTGAAAACAGTCATCATGCTTCTCAAATTCCCAGGAAAGAAAGAGACAGGAGAAGGAAAACCTGATTAAAACTGCGGGAAGAGTTGTTTGTGTGAATCAATAATTTTGATTACAACTTCAATATACTTAAAAGTAATTACAACTGAGGATATATGCATCATTTTTGTTAATAGCTATTAGGATGTTATTCTGCATTAAGCTGCTATTCATGAAATTTCATTCATAATCAAGACAAAGTGGAAAACTTAATATCATTTTCAATGGTAGAAAAACCTTAGTCGTGAAATAAATGATGTGTAAAATTAGCATCTAGTTTTGAGGAAAGACATGAGATGTTTCAGTCTATGCAATTTTTTCATAATTTTAAACAGTGCAAAATATTTGCTGAAAAGCTGTCATCATTCTGCTTCACTAACAAAGAAAGAAAAATTGAAAAGAGAAAAATGGAAAAGAGTTATTTATATTAATGAGTAATTCGTGACTGGAAATAATTTCTTCCATAGTATCCACAATTTATAAAATACCAAAATTGTAAACTTGAGAAGAAGAAATGCACAAAAAAAAGATAAAGTATAAAAAATTTAATTTTGAGGCTATTTTGTTTTTCTTTTCGCATTAAAATTCATCGTCAGTGGTTTGAAAGTAAGCTTTTTTTTTCTTTTTAAATAATCTGCCGGAAGTGTGGAAAATAGAGCTGTCCAAAGGTTTCTTGCTAAATGTCGCGCAAGATTTCACTTGTTTTATCATTGTTTACGCGTAACGTATCATTGGAGATTTTTGTGTTAAACTACAACGAAGAGATAGCAGCCTAAGTTAGTGACAGCCGGTCCAGAAATTAAATGATACAGTCAATTTGACAGATTACGTCTGAGATGATAATTTACAACTATATTACAGAGAATGATTTCATTATCTTATTTATCAAGAAAATTACCGATGGAAAGGAAAGGAGAATAGTCCGATTTGAGATTTGAATTTCCTTCTTAGTCTATTAAACTATCAAGTCTATTATACAAGTTATTTTTAAGATTTCATATTTAGTGCGGTTGTTAATTCTTATCAGAAAGAAAGATGTACTAGAACGCAGAGCTTATTTATACGGACCAGCAATTAACGATGCCGAAATCTTATAAGAAACTGAAATCGCATGACAATTCAGTGAGTTTCGTTCACGAATTCCTTTTACCATCTTGGCTTTTTTGCATCTTAAGTATTCAGGAGCCAAGTGGGAAATTCATTTCTCTTGTAAGGTTTTATTTCTTAAGGATTAACTTGAACTTGGATTGGACGATATTGTAATTAGGGGAATTATCTTTTACTGGAAACATCAAGGCTCAATTCCCACACTTATTCTATCATTCTGTCAGTTTAAAATTGGGAGATATATCTATTTGAGGGAAATGAAGTATCTTATGGAGCAGTTTGTCATATTTTAGCTATGGTTGCTACCACTTATGTGCATTTGAATTTTAAAATTACACTCGAAAATCCTAAACTATCAAATTGGGTGTCGCTAGTAGACAAAAGAGATAAAACCTTACAAGTTTTTTTTCAGAATTTCTGAATTCCTTCAAAATTTCAGAATTTCAGAATTTCTGAAGTTTCCCACAGAAGTACAAACTAAGACTTATTGTAAAGTCAACCCGGTTCCAATGGATTATTTTTTCAGATCATTCGGCTGAGATTATTCCTTTCCAAAAAACCTGGATCATTTCAATTGCAGGTTAATCCTTTCAAAGTGACCTGAATAACTTCAGCTGCAGTTCATTACTTCGAAAGCAGGACCTCTATTTCCTTAAAATCTTCATTTTTTTGGATTATAAACATACGAGACTTAGTGAAGCGGGACTTAGTGAAGCGAAATGTGTCACGTGGAACAAACGTGTTGCATTACGACCCGATTGTGCTAACTGCGTTGAATGTCGGGTTGCGGTGGCGCATGCGTATAACTTAGGTATGGGATCGAAGGGTCGGTCTTCAGGTGTAGGCAGGGTAGAGAAGTCGGGGCGGTCGCTGGGAGACAGTTCAGGTAACCGCCAGGAGCGACTCCGTCACAGAAAGAGCAGTTGTCGCAGCAACACTCCGCAGAAGACTGTTACTGGTTATTCCTCTAAAGTTGTTGCATCGAAGAGAACAGTCCACCATTCATCGCCGTTACGAAAATCGAAACCATCGCCGGTCAACGAACTTGACATATTAGCACTAAGCCAAAAGGAGCAACAGTCTAAATCAGGTCAGTGTTTACTCACTTTCCATGCTTTCTAGTACATTTCTTATATAGCTTTTGAATACCTCTCTGTTTCTGCACACTTATTTGTGCACACTTTGAAATAAGGAGAACTGAGAATGCTGCATCAAGTTTAAAAAAACTACCCTTTTATTCCAGTCATTATATTTTAAAATATAAGGTTTTATGATGTTTTATCTGAATCAGAATGAGACTAGCCAAACCACAGTTTTTGGGATACGTGATTCCTGTGGCATCGTGCACCATCGTCAAACTTTGTGTCACCTCATATCAAACCTTATACATTGAAATATAATGATTGGAACAAAAAGGAAGTTTTTATTTAAACTTTCATGCACTATTCCATGCTGAAGTCATTTTCAAGGGAACACAGGGGGTTCGGAATTGTTGATTAATGTGTCAGGGTTTAATTACATTTATATTTTCCTTTGTTTCTTTATTTTGCCGGCCGGTACCGTTTCATATCTCTATTTATTTTCGGGAAGCAGTCGAAGATAGACATAAATGTTTGTATCGAAGGGAGTGTTTTCACTTCCCAATGATGCCTTTAAATTAGTTGTTTCTGCAATTGTGATAGAACATTGAGTAACTAGAATCTAGGCTGTTGGTCGTCCAGGATTTCAAAATACTGTTACCAATAAAAGGCTTAAAACAATTCAAGGAACACTGATTATTTTAGAATTGAAGTTTCACTTCATATTTCCGAACTTGTTCACTATAGGCGTTCTAGTACTTCATGTATGTCTCCGAGTTTGAAAGCCTTGTAATTGTAATGGTATACTAATCTTTCTTAATGTAACTGTTTCAGGAAACCGAGGAAAAGATGGCATTCAAGTAAGTGATTTTTCTATGTTTATCTTGATTATTGATATCTTGTTTTATTTTTCTTTAAAAACGAGTTAAAAGAAAATCCGCTGTTATTAATGAAGTTCACAAAAGGTGTTGTTAAAAGTAATGAGTTTGGTAAGTGAAATTTGAGAATTGAGTAGCTTTGGAAGGTTATTACATGATATCACTTTTTCTCTGCACAGTTTTTCTGTAGTCATTTCGTAAAATCCCAATATTAATGATTGAATAATACCAGAACACAGTCGAGCGTGTGCCTGAAAGCTTCATTGAAAGTAGAGGATTTTTCGTCTACAGATCTAAAAAAGAGATCCAAATTGTCATGAGTCTAGTCAGTGATTGATGAAATGAACTGGATTTAAACCTGTTTTCTTATTTTTCTTCTACTTCCTTTTACTCAACCACATCCAACTCAGGTTCTACCGAAAAAAATGCTGTTTGGAATACTGGAGTTCCTGGCATATATATATATCATTAACTCATTAACCAGAACAGTTAATGATATATGATATATATATATATATATATATATATATATATATATATATATATATATATATATATATATAT